ATGGAAACAAATGTCTGCCTGAAATGGATTAAGTATCCTGTTCACACACTTAATTAAAAGAAAAAGAACTGTTATGCATGTGCAGCAGGTCAGCCAGTGGCTCAGTCTCGTTTGCACTAGGATGGACCTCAGACTCTGTCATGGTGGAATGTAAGATAGCCATCTTTCAAGACCAGATGGTTGGGGCCAATGAGTCCTGCATGACTTTGCCACTACTATTCCCATGATGAGAGATCATTGGACTAAGCCTATAAGAATCATAAGGACTCAGTCCTGGAGGACTAATATTCCTCATGTCTCTCCTGGTGCAGGGGGCAATTAGAATTCCTAGGAAGTGCATGGAGATGTACTGAAGGATGGTCTTTTGAGAATCTAGGCAATGAGGCATCATGGACTGTGGGGCACAAAGTTCTCTGCTGGTATTTGGAGACTCCAATATTTGAGACCTTTACAGCCAACTGGAGTAGAACCTGTGCATTAGTTCATTTGGCCACCCCTTTCACCGTGCATTTGGACACCCTAACCCATCCAAAATCTATAATGCACCAAGGGAGAAAAGTCACCACAGGAGGGATTATTTGATTCTCACATTTACATTGATACCAGAGCAGTCCCTAAGGGAGTTCCCAGAGAATATAAGGCTAGAAATTAAATAGCAGCAGCATTGGCATCAATATTGTTCTGGTGATGCACCATCAACAAAAATTGGCCAAACTAGATCTACTCTAGCTGAATTTCGTTAACTCTACTAAAGATGCTGTTAAAGAATTGGCAAAGAAATAGGCCCCAAAAGTAAAATGGCCTAGGAAAATATTCTGGCTTTATACATGATCTTGGCAAAAAGGAGGAGCATGTGTGGTGACAGGCAGCCAATGCTGTACTTGAATTCCAATTAATACAGCTCCAGGTTGTATTATTAGCACTGTGCTAGAGGGTCTAACAACACTGCCTAATCAGTTAGTAGAAAAATTCAGGAGTAGATGACCCTTTCTCTAACCTAATGGAACAATGGTTTGGAAAAGGAAGGGATAATAACCTCAGTCTTGAGTCTTCCTATCACTGGGTTCAGGGCAGTGACTCCAGTGGGATGCTGCCTTGTTCCCTGTGTAAGATGATTAGTGCAAAGCCTGATAGAGGCAGCCCTTACTAAGCCATCCCCACTTACCTATGAAACCAATCTACTTCTATTATAAACCTCAGACCCAGATGATGAGAGTCAAGGAATGTTTGTCCAGTTTGAATAAAAGAATAACAGTGTATCATAAAGAAAGGGAAAATTAGTTTTTTCTATCAAAGGAGATATTTAGGATAACTTCATTTTATAAGAATCTCTATATGACAAAATTTTATAAATTTTATAAAATTTAAATGCTATTTTGTAAAAGGTTCATTTTGTAAATGTTTCACCACTCCTTAGGACAATGACCTGTGACAAAGTGGCCTTATGCTAGTCCACCTGCATGAAACTTTGTAACAAAGGTTCTTCTGGGTCACAGCATCTGTTCTCCCCAGCACTACAACTCCTTAAGAACTATGGAATCAGGTTAACATGTGAGGTCATGTTTCCACTAATAGAGCACGGCACAGTGACAAGGGTGCATCAAGAAATAAAGCTATGTGGAGTGATTGCTCAGTGTGCTGCCTGGGAGTGTCTATCCTAGCCATTCTCCCATATGGAGAAGTAAAGCCTTCCTGAAATTTTTTAAAGATTTTTATTTTGTTCTGTTGTGACCTCAGGGATTTTCTCTCTGACCCATAGTATTTTCCCACCATTATCAAAATATTACTTCAAACAAATATTGTTATTTCTATAATTACAATTACGAGCATGGCTTAGACATCAAAAAAGATACTATATGATAGAAAGAACTCCATTATAATTCAGATTAAAATGTCACCTACTATTCCTACATGGAAAGAGGGGTGTATATGGTAAAGTGAGGTGATAATGACATGAAATTTGACATTATTGGATTAAATCATTTAAAAGATATTTTTAATAGAATTTTGGACACAGGGCCTGATTAGAATGTGGAGGCCATGTGGACATGACTGGGAAAGCTCTCCTCTCCACCTGACCCTCTCTTCTCACCTCTTTTCTCTTTTTGAACCCGACCTTCCATGATGTGTGCAGCTTATCAGGCCATTCTGTTATGCTGTTCTGCATTGGATTGGCCAATAATAAAGTGCAACCTCAGAAATTGTCTATTATAGTAAAACTTCTTTCTCTAAATTGTTGGCCTTAAATACTTTGGCACAGGAACAGTGACTAATGCCGTCTTCCATGTTCATGAGGCTACAGGATTGATATTGTTTTAATGATCTTGTTATGAAAATAGATCTATATATTCAGTGAATTCCAATAAAGATATTAAAAATGGTTCTTTCTAAGATGAGAAAAACAACCCCCAAATTCATCAGCAAATCACACACACACACACACAAGAAACAATCCAATAATAATTAAAGCAATATTCAGAAATCTGAAGAAAGCTAAAATCAGTGCATCATTAGATATCTCTGTAGTAAAACAAAAATTTGCATGTTATTAGCATAGAGACAACATCAATAAACTGGAGGGCACTAAAACAAAAACACAATAACAGCTCATTTTTTTTCTGAAAAGGAAACAAAAATATATATTGAATAAAACAGTCTCATCAACAAATGTTTTCAGAAATCTGGACATCTGTAAATAGATTATTAGAAGTAGATCTCAAAATGTCACACTGTGAAAAATGTCCACTAAGAATATATCAAATACCCAGGTGTATTTCTCAATTTTATTTGAACTGGAAGATACTCTACAGAAATATATCACTTCACAAGCAGAGGTAAAAATTTTCTGAGGAGGACTCCAATAGAAAATAAATGACAGAAATGATCAACAGATGGAATGATATCAAACAGAAAATCTACTGCACAGCAAAGGGATTATCAACAGACTGAAGACACGACTTACACAACAGAAGGAATTCTCTGACAGCAATGCTGAAGATAGGGCATTAATATCATATATGTATATACACATATGTATACATATATCCAAAATTAAGCCTAGATATACATACACCTCAATGCATGAGAAAATGAATTCAGTAGTCATTGCTCCAAAAAAGAAATGGAAATGGAGGAAAGTAAATGAAAATATTTTCCACACCATTACTTATCTGTGAAATGCAAATCTAAACTTATTTGAGATTTCATCTCACCTATCAGGACTATCATATACAAAGAATAATAATTTCTTTCGAGGATGTGAGAAAAAACTATATATTTTTTTCTTGTAATTTATTAAATACAGTATGAAAATCTTTGTGAAGGTTACTCAAAAGAGTAAATTTAGAACTGGGGATTTAGCTCAGTGGTTCTGCTACTTGCCTTGCAAGCACAAGGACCCGAGTTTGATCCCCAGTACCAAAAAAAGAGTAAATTTCGATCTACTATTTTATTCAACTTTCAAATAATTGATTGACTTTATAAAAAATTAAAGAGTATGTACTCTTGAGATATGTTCATTCTTGTAATTTATTGCAGCACATTACATGTATTCTTAGCTATGAAAACTTCCTAGTGACCATGGAAAAATGAATAGGTGAAAAAATGTGAACTTATGCACAATGAAGTATTTTTTGCAAAACATATATGCATGATTAAACATGAGGTCATTTTCTGTAAAATAGGCCTGATTAATAAAGTCAAATAGCATGTTTTCTATCATATGTGCAGTGTGGAAGAAAATCCAACATAGGCTTGACATGTTAGTAAAAGAAAACTTTTAGAGAAGAGGATGAGGGAAAGGAAAGAGCAAAATAATAAATTGCTAAGGGGGTGTGAAAAGAAAAAATTTGTTCTATACATGTGCAGGCTTTATAAAATGAAAGATATTAGTCTCTAAAATTAACATGCAACTAATAAAAAACACCAAATATTGTCACTCAAATTGAGCAGAAATGGCAAGTGTCAAATTGTAGTTTGTAGGCCTTTGTCAAATTAGAGGTTGTAGGCATTTGATATTGAAGAAGTTTGTAAGAATTAATTACAAAAAATTTAAATGAAAATGAAAATCTGTGGTAGTACAGAGAGAAAATCTTCAGTGAGTTCTATGAAGACAACAAGGATTCTATGCAGAATTAATTTCAATACACACACATTCTTCTCTCCCAAATCTGAAACAATGAAAGGAAAACATGATGTGTGATGTTCAAATAAATAAAATGATAGCACTTGTGACATTTTTCACAGGGTCTTAGGCTACATTTTAGGAAACATCATTCCCTTCACCAAAGCCACATCTCACATATGCCCTGGTCAGGCTCCCATCTGTATTGAAGCACGAGTCTGTGGTTCTCACCTGGACTGCAAATTTGGGCAAACCTTTCTCATCCCATCACCCACAGCAATGGAGATGCCATGAAAGGGATTTGGAATAATACTGGAGAAGAGGAGGATGAGGGGAAGGAGAGAGGAAATGTTAAGGAGGAAATGAGGGGCATGTGAAGGGCCAATGTGTGATATATGCAGGTACAAATTGGGTTAAATGAAATGCTTTTCTCTATAAGCAATACAAAGTTATTAAAAAGAAAGAAATAATAACAAAGACTGTCACTTAAACAGAGCAGATATGTTAACAGAGGTCCAATTATATGTTGTAGAAATATAGAACATTGACTACTATAGAAGTTCATAAAAATTCAATTATGAAAAATTAAAATGGTGAAAAGATACTGTTCATGTGTAGAGAGAAAATCTTTAATGGAATCTCAGAGGAAAATGACCTCTATATGAAATGGTAACTCCAGTGTATACATACATCTGTTCAACCACAGCAAAAGCAAAGATAAATGCACATGACTGGAGATGTTCATATAAAAGAAATAGTGACAAAACCGCCCATGTCCTCTCCTACATTGTACACAGCATCACTCACTTTAAAAGCCTTCACTTTGCATACTGACCATGCTCCCATCTGTACTGAAGCACCACTCAGTGGTTCTTACCTGGATGCTGAAGTTGGGGAATAACTCTTCCTTCCACCGTCCACAGCATTTCTTTGTCCACTGAAAGAAAATTTAGATGTGATTCACAGAGCTGGTATTCTGCTTAGGGAAAATAAGCAAGCATATTTTTATTTTTGTGGTGTCAAACCCAGATTTTGATCAAATATATGGGATGCAACTTAGAAGAGGTAAAGAACCAGAGGTTAGACCTATGAAATAAATTCAGAAAACAAATACTGTGTATTTTCTACATAAATAGGGAATCTAGAATGTATATCAAAAAAGTACAGCCATCAGTATTCTTATATATATTACTCTTTTTAAAGAAAGTGCAGAATTATCAATATTTCAAAAATAATGAATATTCCAAAGGACAATGAATTCTATTTAAATAGAATCTAAGACAAATCCCTTAAGAATACTCACATTACATTTATTTTCATGTCTGGGTCAAAACTCAACATGCTGACTTTAAAGTAATACTTTTCCAATTATTTAGTGAATTTATAATTTTGAAAACATTCATTCAATACACAGTTTTGTTCTGGGTTTTGAAGATATGTTTGCAATAAAGGCATGAAATATTGATCAAGTCAAAGTTCAAGGTTGTTAGAAAATTGTAAATGAATGTAATTCAAAACTTTCTTTCACAAAGGTGTAAGGTTTATGAATAAATTCAGACAGATTGATTGGGATATGGGTCAGGTATTCTAGAAACCTGATGCTAGAAAACTTGCATGACTGAATATAGATAGAGACAATGGCGGACTCACCAAGGGATAGGAGATGATTAATGTTCTCCACCATCACATTCCTGTACAGCTTTCTCTGAGGTGTGTCCAGTAGGGCCCATTCCTCTGGGGTGAATTTTATGGTCACATCTTCCATGGTCAGTAAATCCTAGAAGGTCATGGACACGACAGGTTAGACACAGGAATAGTGACAAAGCTCCTCTTATTAAAACTCAGATTAAAGCTGTCAGGCAGAGGAAACTCAGGATAGACAGATTTAATTGTTTAGGGCAACACTCTTCATTCTCATCACAAACCAGAGATTTAAATTTCAGAAACTTTCCAGTAGAAACTCACTCTGAATTCATAAATTCATTATTATGAAGAATAATTATATTATGAGGAATTTTACATGATATATGGTATAGAAAATCTGAAAATTTTTGACAAAATTGTCATTATGACCTTTATACAGGTTGTTATGAAACACTCAGTTTCAAAGTTTTAAGTAAAAATGTCTTCCCTCTTCATTCTAAGGAACTGTCTTATATAAAATAAGGAAACTATTTTATCAGTTTTTTGATTTCTGTTATTTAGAATGACTATGATTATTTCATTTTCATGTATATACCTCACGTTCCTCATCTATTAAACCATTTTATATGCTGATGTGAATGTGGAATGATCCAAGGAATATTTTTTATCTCAAAGATATTTATTAGAATTGTCCTTTATATTATTCATGAGAAGGCCACAGACCCTGGAAGGACTAACCTCCATGCCTGATCACTGGCTGAATTGCATGACTCTCACCATCTGTGGGTGTGGTCTGTCCACTAGAAAGGAACCAAATTTGCAGAACAAGGTTCAGGACAAAGGTCAAGCAGAACTTATCAAAGAACTCTGACTGGTGTGTTGTCCTTGCCATAGTGTAGACTTGCATACATACATATGGACAATGACACCTGCATGCATATGAAAACATATATATTTACATACTATATACTAAATGAGATATGGTGAGTGTACATCCCATTAAATTTACCTCAGTGTCAAGAAAATCCTGCCTAGTATAATAGATAATGTGAAATAGGAAGGAAAGGGGCAAAGGGGAAGGGAAAGTGGGAGGGGTAGGGGAAAGAAAAGAAGAGAATGGAATTAATATGAGAAAATGGAAAAATGGAAACAAAGTCTTTGAAAATAGGGAGGGATGGAAGGGGTGAAGGGAGGGCAGGGTAAGGGGGAAAAATAAGAACCAAGAGAGATTATGTGAAGTTGCAAATTTCCAAAGATGAATGTCATTTATATTGTATACCTAAAATGTACCAATAAAATATAAAGTTTTTTAAAAAAGAAAATCCTCCCTGAAATTTAGATGCCTTCATCCCTCCTACTTGCACTTAAGACTTACTCTCTGCTCTCAATAAGCTTGTAATACCAGTAGAAAAACACATCCTTACTCACCTGAGCATTCAGTGCCATTCACAGAGCTGTCAGTTGTCTTCCAGTACAGATTGTCTCTCAGGCTGAGAAGTAAGCAATGAATCTGTGCATAGAAAAAGAAGTCAACATTGCAACTACAGTGTCTTCTAGTTTTTACTTTATCAAGAAATTATGAATCACATGAAATTGTATACTACTTGGCAAATAACAGGATAATCTCATTTCTTTTCTTTTTTATTCTCATTTCTAAAGCTTGAAACAGTCTTCATTTCACTTCCCATTTTAATACATAGGGACCAATTTAAACAAACACTCAGAGAGATTTATATTTTTCTTATTGCTTGGACAATTTTTATATCTTTTCCTAAACATCAGCAAAGGAGGATCCTCCAAGGAACACTTGCCTGCCGTGACTGCATCTGCAGACACAGGATCACAATGCTGACCTTTGTCAAACTACATGATCACGGCTCACAGATCCTTGCAATGTGCTGGTAATTTTCTCATGTGCTTTTAAGTGAACTTACATCCTTGCTCCATAAATATTACAAAGTTTAGACATGACCTTGAAAATTCTTACTATCTCATTGATTCTAACTATAAAAGACAATTGTACATTATTCTAAAAATATTGTTTTAACATACAGTCTTTAAAATGGCAGCAGGGCTGCCTTATCAAATTGGTTCAGAGTAGGTGCATTAAAATAAAGATGACTTTCTCACAATTCTGAGAGGAAAAGTCCTGCAGGCACTGCCTGTCAGGTCACTGGCTGCCAGCTCCTGCGTGCTGCTTTCCCCCTGTGTTCCAACCTGGCCTTCCCTGAGGCCATGTGAGTGCTCTAACCCCCTTCTCATAGGGATGCCCCTCATACTGGGTCAGGGCCACCAGGATGAGTCTGCTTCTCTTTGCCTCTTCAAGACTAAATGCCAAAGGCAGTCACATGTACAGCTTTTGGGCAGAGGAGTGGACATTAATGCATTTCCAAATACTATATTAATGAGCATGTCATTGTCATCATCATTGGGAGGGAAGGAGGCAGAAAAGGCACTCAGCTATGCTGTGCATGGCCAACTCCACACAGGAAGGGAGACATGACGATGTGCAGACACGTATTCATAAACCTTGTGAATAATTCAAAAAGGTAGGGAATGGGACTGATAAGAAATGCTGATAAAAGAAAATTACAATGAAATTTAAGCATCAGAAGATAGCGATTCATCCAACAATGGGCAGGACCTGCTTTAAGCAGGGCTCACATCTAATTGTTTGGCGAGCTCACCAGGAGCCAAGGTTGCAGACAGTGAAGCCCTCTAGCTTCTCAGGAGCTTTCACAGGCAGGCAGCAAGTCACTCTTCTCCCAAAGTGGTGAGCACTGCATCTCCTCCTTCCTGGGAAAATGCTTTGCTTCCTCTGCCTGAGCTCCCTTTATATAGAGGAAACCACTGAGCAAACCCAATTGGGGCCACAGGCCAGGGATTGCATGCTGATTGCACACACTCTGGACCTCATCAGGGCTTCCTTTCTGAGCACACGGGGTTCACTTTGACTGCATCCTCCAGACAGATATAAAGCTATAACCTCACACAATGGAGATCAAACAGGAAAGACCAGTAGAAATTTATATTAGCAAGGCACAATCTGCCTGCTATTCTTTTCCAAATTATCTCAATAGCTTTCCATGTTCCAGGAAATATTCTAGGTTTTGAAGTTATAGTAGAGAACCACACACACAGGGAACACATGCACAGGTAAATGAAATTTGAGGGAGGCCACAGATTTGGAGCATGTGAGCTGGGTCCACAGACCACAGCAGTGTAGAGTTAATCACAGGGACTGGGTTTTGATTAGTTGCAGGAGCCCAAATAGCTAATGAGTAAATCCAGGGGAAATTTTTAATTAATTCTCCTGTACCTAAGTGACAGGTTGTTTGATTAATATTTGTGCAATGAAATTGTATTGTGTGTCTCCATTTTATACATGATGCAGGATCACAGCACTGGTAGGATCTCCCTAGACTTCTTTGGTTATGAGGGGTTCCTGAATCTCAAAGTTTCTTTTGTACACTCTTTAAATTCCATTACATTTAATTGGTCCAAGGATGTGAAAGGGCCCTTTCCACCACATTTGGCTCCGTACAGAAATGTATTGAGCAAAGAAGTAAGATTTGTCTCTGAGAAATGAGAAAAGATCAGCCAGGGATTAAGCTCAGTTGTTTCACCACCTGCTGCATAAGTGCAAGGACCTGAGTTTGATACCTGGTACCAAAAAAACCCCCCAAAATTGGAAGAGAAGTCAGAGTTTTGTACTTCTTGTGTTGTTTTTATGAAATTGGGAATTATCAGTGCAGTAGGCAGCCTTTCTCTTATTTGTGCATATTTCTCCTTGGCATTAGCCCATTACTCTTTTGTTATTTGGGCTTTAATTTGCAAGTTAGAAGTATTTGGACTATGATGAAATTACTCTTCTGTGTGTAGTGAGTCACCCAACTTTTCCTCAATGGCTTGTGTGTGTTTGTATTCTGGCTTTTGTGTTTAGGTTTAATATTTTTTTCTTAAAGTAACCAATATACTTTAATCATTTTAGGGCTGGGGAATTAAGCTCAGTGGATTTGCTGCCTGCCTAGCAAGCTCAAGGACCCGAGTTCGATCCCCGGTACCAAAAAATAAATAAAATAAAGTAAAAAAAAAGTACTTTAATCATTTTAGGCTAATTCCTGGAATCCTTCTTCTTCTAATATTTTAATGAATATATTCACACTTTGGTTTCTCTTTTGTGACCTTTAAATACATGGCCACTGGCTTAACTACTGTTGGTTTTGGTTAACTAGGTTTGAGACCCAAGCCTAGGTCGAACTCTCTTTGGGACTGAAGGGAGGGGAGAGCCAGCCTACCCCCACAGCAGGATCAACCAGTTTCCATCAGGGAGCTCGTACCATCTGTTTCTCATCCATGACTCTCCAGTGAGTGGCACGTGACCATCGCACAGTGTGGCACAGGCAGCCCAATGGGAGAGTCATGCATGTATGGCCTCTAATAATCATGTTAATTAAAACCATGTCATCTTGCACATTTTAACTGTTAATTGGCAAAATCTGCACTAATATCTTAAATAATGGACTAAATTAAAATTCTGTGCTTATGATAGTTGAAGGCTTAATTAGTTTCTGCTGATCACTCAGGAGTCTACTCCCCCACACAGCTCATGTTGAAGGACTGCGGGAAATTCAATCACAGAAGCAGCAACAAGAGGTGTTCACTATGCTGCAGTGGTGAAGCCTTCTCCCCACAGTCTTCCACTTAAATAAGGAGGAAGAGAAGTGGCATCAAATAAGACCCTAAGTCTTCAGAGCAGAGTTCATTTTAATGACTAGAGAGCAAGGAGCAGTGGCAATGGGGAGCTCTGGGAAGAAACTGAACACTTCACTCTGAGGATCAGGAGATTCTCTCTGTGTCTGTGCCCTGTACCCAGGTCATGTTCAGGCAACCACAGGGAACTGGAGAGAAATTGGCTCCAGTTCCTTCTCCCTCCAGGTCAGCCTGAGACCTCCTTCCAGTCTTGGTGGGTCACTTTAGAGGAGGATTCAGGGCCCATCTAGCAACTTTGCACAGGAAAGGAAGGAAAGCAGTGGGTCTGGGTCAAGGTTCTGAGGGAGAGGAGAAGGGCTGCTTTGGGCTGGGAAAGGCTGCACTGAGGAGGGGACAGACCAGGTCAGGGTCACAGAGCTTCAGGGCCCACATCATGGCACAGTGGGGGGTGGGGTCAGTCTACATTGTTCTCCAGTTCCAAGCAGGCATCCATGTGTCTTCTTAGCCCCATCTGTTCTTCAGGCAAGAAGAGCAGCAGAGGAAGGCTCTCTCTCATGCAGGATTATCCTGATAGGGCCCCAGAGACACAGCTACACTGCAGGATTTCATAGCCTCTGGTGTCTGTCCCATGGGAAGGCTTCTCCCTGACTCAATGCTGAGTTTTTCTTCCAGGCTAACCCTTGGCACCTGCTCATCATTACAGTGCTCTGATCAGGTCACTTCCCTCCTTGAGATGCTGACAAAGCAAAGTCACAGGATTTCTCCCTACAATTTCTCCAAACTGTGTCTAAATACATAACTTGTGACATGTGTCCATTCCTCAAGCACCAGGCAAGAAGTCTACTGGAAACACACAGCTCTGCCTGAGCCTATGACACAGAGAAAGAGGCAAGACTCAAACTCAGCTTCCAGGAGGCAGGAGGAGACCTGTGCTGGTCCTCGACCTCACTTGGCTGAATCCCCACAGAAAAGAAGCTCAGCCCCCTCCAACCTTTCCAGGGAAGCACAGGGGACCTGAATGGGGAGCTTTCCAATCTCTGCAGGCTGCTCCAAGTAGAAGTGGAATTTTAACAAAGGTGTCAACCAAATGACCCAGAATCTCCCTACCCCAGATGGCTAGTATTGACCTCCAACATCCACACGAGAGGTCACACCTGGACTCAGTCCATTCCTGCATGCTCTACATTATCCCAGACTGCACCATTTTCGTTCCTGATCCAATCTGGATTCAGCCCCAGGTATATTCCATCATCTGCTCCTCATACAGCAACATCATGATTTATTACTTTCATTATTGTTTACTTAATTACCTTTCATTCCTCTGAAGTAATCATTCGAACTGTCTTTTTTACATTTCTCTAACTTTTAATATTAATGCACCTTTACTACACACTACTCCAACTCTAAGTCCTTTCAAAAAAGGAAATTACCTTTGACCAATGAATTGTAACAGAATTTAAAGGATGTACAAAAAAAATTTGAGATTCAGGAAACCCTCATAACCAAAGAAGGTCCAGAGAGATACTAAAAGGATTGTAATCCTTCATCTTTTACAAAATGGAGACATAAAATATGATTTGATTGGACAAATAATAGTTAAAGAACCTATGAAGTGGGTGCAGCTGATTTAATTAATGCAGTCCACCTGCAGTTGCTCACTAGGTATTTGGGCTCCTGAAACTAATTACAACTCAGTCCCTGTGATCAACTCTATTTTGACATGGACTGTGGAACTCAGCTCACATGCTCCAAATCTGTGGCCTCCCTCAAATTTCATTTACCTGTGCATGTGTTCCTGAGTGTATGATTCTCTACAACAACTTCAAAATGTACAATCTTTCCTGGAACATAGAAAACAATTGAGATTATTGGAAAACAATAGCAGGCAGATTGTGTCTTGCTCATGTAAGATTCTGCTGGTCTTTCCTCTTTGTTCTCCATTGTGTGAGGTTATAGCTTTTATGTGTCTGGAGGATGCAGTCAAAGTGAACCCTGTGCACTCAGAAAGGAAGCCCTGATGAGGTGCAGAGTGTGTGCAATCAGGATGCATCCCCTGGCCTGTGGCCCTGATTGAGTTGGCACAGTGGTCTCTATATAAAGGGAGCTCAGGCAGAAGAAGCATTTTCCCAGGAAGGAGGAGCTGCAGTGCTCACCACTTTGGGAGAAGAGTGACTTGCTGCCTGCCTGTGAAAGCTCCTGAGAAGCTAGAGGGCTTCACTGTCTGCAGCCTTGGCTCCTGGTGAGGTCACCAAACAATTAGATGTGAGCCCCGCTTATAGCAGCTCCTGCCTCTTGTTAGATGAATCACTCTCTTCTGGTGCTTAAGTTTTATGGTAAATTTATTTTATCAGCAGTTCTTGCCAGTCCCATTCCCTATCTGTTTAAATTTTTAAAATGTTTATGAGTCCATGTTTGCAGATCATCATGTTTGGTTCCCTGTGTGGAGTTGGCCATGCACAGCACAGCTGGGCACCTTTTTCATCCCCTACCCCTTCCTTCCCTCACCCTTCCTCCATCTCTGGAGAGTTTCTCTCTACTTCCCAGTGTCTCCTCTTTCTTTTGCTCTTATTTTATAGTTTGATATTTCAGTTCGTGTGTCTGACTTATTTTCTTTAGCATAATGGTCTCAAGTTGCATGCATTTTCTTACAAAGGACTCTAATTTAAATTTGATGGTTTTGTCCCTCTTCTTTCACTGTCTCAAATGTATATCAAGAATTTGCTTCCTCCATGATTGTGGATGCATTTTGTCCTCTAGAGTATTTAACATTAATAAGGTTTCATAATACTTAAATTTTTATGACTAAGTTTCAAGCCCTCAATTGGGATGTTCAATTTCAAGGTTTCCTTATGCACACATATCTGGCAGCTGCTGTACTAAATAGCATGTAGAGAGCACATTTTCTTTATCTTAAAATGTCCTGCGTTTCTGTGATCTACACCTTCTGTCACTTTTCTAATTTGTGCTTGCAATAATGTCTTTCCTTCTTTGCATTCGTTATTTTTATGTGTATTATTGTGATTCTTGATTATTACTTTACCTTTTGGGTATAAGTGCTCCTATAACATATTTAAGGGC